AATTAAAATTCATCATTTCAATTTCTGCCCGGCCGGGAATCGAACCCGGGACCTCTCGGCATAGTAGTCCGTTCTGAACCACTACACCAAACGGCCGACTAATAAAAAGAATCATTTTCAAATGCATCATCTACTATGGTGAATAATAGACAACGTAACGTTATCAGACTTGAATCTAGAAACAAAATAGCAATAACCAAAACAATTGCCTGCCACAAATTACACGTACAGCCGTATTTGATACAGGGTTACACATTTCCATAATTTCCCACGCGCTTTTAATTCTTCCACAGAATGCAATTTCTTCCCTTTGTGCGTCCAATTGCTAATATCGGGTTAGGTTCCCGCTAAGTTGAAGGCCTTAAGTCAGAGATAGTCAACCTTTTTTTTACTGAGCAACAAAAAATTTCCAGCTTTAAGGCAGTGAGGCGCAATTTTTTTATTGAGACAGAAATGAGCAACGTTAATTCTTTAAGACACCGCTGGGTAGGCTTTTTATAAGGTTATATTTTTACAGGTTGAGCATCACTGCTCTAAGTGAAGGTTACAAAATGGACCGCTCAGTTCTTTGTCAGCAAGTGGGTCGGGCACTCCCGCTGTTAACTACGTGATTATGTGGTATTGTGCTAATGCATTGTGACTCGAACGGGATCGGTGTTTGTAGTAATAGCCACCCTATATTGTACTTGGGGAAATGCTCTATTTTTTATGTTGTGGTATGAAAATGTAGGCTGTAGCGCTTTACAAGTAAATAGAGTGTTGTTTTCTCCTTGATTAATAAAAATTGACGTCATATGGGTATGTTTTTTAAATCTACCTATGTTAAGTTTTAAAATACCCGTAGGGATTCAAATCCCTAAAACTTTATGCCAACTAAATACCATACTTTCTAAGATTAATTTGTCAGAGTAGAAGGCTATCCTTCACGTTATATTATCAAATAATTTCTCAACGTGTTCTGCGTGTGCTTTAATAAAGTACTTAATTAATCCTTACGTTCACGAGGCAGATTGTATTAGGGCACGTTTTGATTAAGTAATTTATTAACATGTCAATCCCTTGATTAGGGTACAAAGGCTCAATTTGGATTAAGTTAGTTTGGGTACGTACTAGATGTGTGTCTCTTTAAGCAAGATTTATTACCTAATCTCTTGCGAGCTACTATATAATTGACAAAAATTTTGCTCAGTTCACAATGATTTGTGATCGTTTATTAATGCCTATCCATAATCAAGTCATCTACAGACTTAATAATAAATCCCAAATAATAGCTGATAGGTATTTTTATGTACAGACAGAGAATCGACGCTAGCATCTGCCAACACGAATGTTGAAGTAGAAACAAAAGATAAGCACTCGCTCACGCGTTCCCTTTGTATCAAAACTGTTCGTTGACAGAAGCCCTCGAAACAAAAGGCACTATTTTACCGTCCTCGTTGTCTTTACTGTCTCTTCCAAAACGCCAATCATGCTGTACAATCTAGGTTTGTAGAAGAAACAAAAGAAAATTGATGCTAACTTTGTGTTTCTATGAAAAACTGCGACCACAAGACACTGCTAGAAACAAAACACAAACGGCAAAACGCTTTTGTGTCGATTGGATCTAGGCCACGAATCAAGTGACACTCGACTTTATCATACGTGAGGAAAGTGTGTCGATGACAGAATTTCGTTCAGGTGCTGCTGACATATTTGAAAGGTCGCGAGTTCGATTCCCGCACAAGACTTAACATTCATTGGTGTGCAAACATTTAAAAATTATTCTGCATATTTTCAGTGTAGAATAAGTAGGTATGTATAATGGATTTGTATGTAGGTATGTGCCTAAGCATTGCGGTTGCAATGGCAATGGTGACCCGCCGGTCACTCGCACGCGTGTTATATTGCCGTCTAATCCTCAAATTCGATGAAGTCAAAACAAAATACTCTCGCCTATTTTCCATTCAGTGCAAGGTGAGAACAAAACACTATCGGCAGAGGCAAACCTCCCGTCCCGATTCGTAAAAAGGTAGAGCCCAAAAACAAAAGACAGTCGACTATTTTCCATTTAGTGCAAGCTTGAAACAAAACACTATCGTCGGCACGCACACCGTCAATCCGTGAGTTTAAAAACTGCTGGTTCAGACGCAGCATTACATTTGTATCAAATCGTAAACGCACGGATACCGCCTCAGTGCAATCAGAACCACCCAGAAACCGCGCAATTATCACGCGTGTCTGAATGTAGAGCTATAAACCAAAGACACTCACCTATTTTCCCGTTCGGACTGTACGGCCCGTAGCTGCTGGACGACAGCGGCGAGGAATACCCATTGTTGGGCTGCGGCTGCACCGCGACGGGCGACGGCGACCCGCCGCCGGTCGCGCCGGCCATCCACTCGCGCACGTGTCCGTTGACCGGGTGGCCGTTGTGACTGACCCCCGGCTCGGCCTTGACCTGGCTGGGCAGGCCGCGGTATGCCACCTCGTGCTTCAGGTCCATCCCGCCGCTACCGCATGCTGGCCCGCCGGCCCCGCCGCCCGCGCTCCACACTTCTGGGGACAAAGAGAGGATGGTGTTAGAAGGAGTCTTTATTGCAGCTCTTTAAGTATCAAGAGTGACGATAGATTGCTGTCTATCACTATTGTTATAACTAGCTGAGACTGAACTTCGTACCGTCATCAATAAAATTGGAGAATCGTACATTGGTGAATTTTTAAAATCGGTGCAGTAATTTGTTAGTCAGTAAGGCTGATGTGCCGTGTGGTGACGGCAGAGTAGAATACATTTGTCACCAACCCCTACTCTTCCCGCGGGTGTCGTAAGAGGCGACTTAGGGACTACACATCAAACAGAGAATGGGCAGCAGCGCTCTCTGAAAAACATCAATCTTTTAAACNGCAATCTCTAGCTTTGTATGTAGGTATGTTTTTTTTTATTTTTTTATTATGCTAGACAAGGCAGGTATTTGACCGCAAACGCACCTGGTGTTAAGTGAGATGCAGTCTAGGATGGTACATAATAATATTATTATCTGCCCTGTAAGTGCCTATTCACTCTCGCCTTGAAAACGCCCGGAAATACATCAGCAGGCAGCTATGTGCCTAAGCATTGCGGTTGCAATGGCAATGGTGACCCGCCGGTCATACTCGCGCACGTGTTATTATTGCCGTCTAATCCTCAAATTCGATGAAGTCAAAACAAAATACTCTCGCCTATTTAACATTCAATGCGGGTGACAGGTAAGAACAAAACACTATCGGCAGACGCACACCTCCCCGTCCCGTTTTGAAAAATGTAGAGCCCAAAAACAAAAGACAGTCGACTATTTTCCATTTAAGCGATGTGTTCACATCAACGCGTCCTGTCATTGGTCGCGGCGATCTATGCAGCGTCTGCACGCAGCGATCAGCGATCATCGCGACATTTGTCACTGTGACGTTTCTGTTTTTTAAAATCGATGTAATAAATAGTAAGTAGGATCTGTTAAAAAGTTTTTACACAATTTAATTTGAATTATTCATAACATACCACTAGTCTGACCTACTTGAATAATAAAAAAGGTTTTAGAATAAAGTATCAATATCAGAATTTATTTTTATGTAATAAACAAATTTTTCTAGTTTTCTCGAGAACCTGCTTTTTCAACTTCATAAATAAAATTGAGATATTATCTGCAGAACAAAATAATTGAGAATGTATAGATGACCCAGGCTGAACTGTCCCACGAAACTCAATGACAGGGGGGCGCTACCATCGTTCAACTATATGGTTTCCAACATGGCAAAAATCTGAACTAGCGATCCGGTATTGACGGTGGCGCCCCACTGTCAATGTCATCGACAGGACAGTCCAGTATTTTGGAACTATACATGTCTGCAGCTTTCTCAAAGGCCCTAGAGCAATTCTAAGTATGCCATAAATAAAAACCTAATTAGAGTCATCAAACGTCTCAGTCATTAATTTAGTGCCACTAGAAATACCTAGTTGACCAAAACTGATGTCTTTTTGTATTTTTGAGTTAATATTAAAGACAAAAAAGATATTTGGACTATTATGGGCCTACTCTGTGGTTTGGGTGCATAATGTAATTCCTTTGCCTTAAAAAAGTAAATGTCAAGATGACTGTTGCACCAAAAATGAAAATGAAAATTGATTTTGATACCTAGATGTTTTGTTGAGTTCTGTGTAATTGTGCGATTTAACGATAAGAACGACAATGGTAAAAGGAAATTGGGGCAAATTTTTTCCCTCAAGGAAAAAGATGAATTGGATATAATCTTACTTGCCCACAAGGATATTGTACGAGCACGTCAGCATCGACCGCGACCTACAACATGCTAGCCGACTGGCCCATGAACCCTGAACGAACGTGCACCGTAGGCGGCACTCTATACCGACGGCACATTGGACTGGACACATTGAATTGTGTAAATTATGTAAATCTTGTATATAGCAATAGCATAACAGTAATAAACCAGATATCAACCGTCCGCGTTGTGTTTCATTTCCCCCACTGAGGCCAAGAAAGCCTTAGTGCAGTCCTCCTTCCTATCAAACCTTTCTTTAAATCTAATTAAAAGGTATTGTTAGGGCTCTAGGGACTACAAACGAAGCCAGAAATATAGCTTGGTTATGAGTAACCAATACCTACCTACTACCTATACCGCATGTAATTCTGTCTCATTCTATAATAGGTATATGGCCGCCTAAATAAATTTGAGTGAAAAAGTGTTTCCACTGTCTCAATTGCATCAAAAGCCTCAAACAAATCATTTAATTTAGTTTCCATTTTGCCGAATAGGCGTGATTGACAATAAGCGAAAGTGACAATATGCGTGACAGTTGTGGTGACAGTGACAACCTGCACGCGCAGTGATCGCCATCGCGGTCGCGGCAGTGTGAAACAACTTTTGCACGCGCAGTGGTCGCCATCGCCATCGCCATCGCTGCACGCGTTGGTTTGTCCGAACCTTAAGTGCAAACTTGAAACAAAACACTATCGCTGACACGCACACCGTCAATCCGTGAATTTAAGGCCTGGTTCAGACGCAGCATTAATCACGTGGCAGTTTTCGTACATCTGCCTCAAACCGTAACCGTTACCGGCTGGCGAGTCTCATTAGCGAGTCTGAATCAGGCCTAAATGTAGAGCTATAAACCAAAGACACTTACCTATTTTCCCGTTCGGACTGTACGGCCCGTAGCTGCTGGACGACAGCGGCGAGGAATACCCATTGTTGGGCTGCGGCTGCACCGCGACGGGCGACGGCGACCCGCCGCCGGTCGCGCCAGCCATCCACTCGCGCACGTGTCCGTTGACCGGGTGGCCGTTGTGGCTGACCCCCGGCTCGGCCTTGACCTGGCTGGGCAGGCCGCGGTATGCCACCTCGTGCTTCAGGTCCATCCCGCCGCTACCGCATGCTGGCCCGCCGGCCCCGCCGCCCGCGCTCCACACTTCTGGGGACAAAGAGAGGATGGTGTTAGAAGGAGTCTTTATTGCAGCTCTTTAAGTATCAAGAATGACGATAGATTGCTGTCTATCGCGCAAGCACTATTGTTATAACTAGCTGAGACGGCGAACTTAGTACCGCTTACGATCATCAGTAAAAATGGAGAATCGTACATTGGTGAATTTTTAAAACCAGTCCAGTAATTTGTTAGTCAGTAAGGCTGAGTTACTTTAACTAAAATAGTAATACACGGGTCTTAACGCGACGTTTTTTAACGAGTTACATTTTGTACTCACGGCTTGACGTTTCGGCTGCTATGCTGCAGTCACAAGCAGTCTGCTAAAATGGAACGCGAAAGTTTAAAATCTTATATTGCACCACTTTATTTTGACCGTGACTATAACGTTAACCGGTGTTTTTTGTATGGAGTTTGACAGATTTTGACATTTGTCAAAGGTAAAGTAAGATGGTGCAACCCAGCCTTAGTTAAAGCCACATAACTGTAAACTAAAATAAACTTAAGCAATTACGAAAATAGTCCCAACAAACAACGCTAAGAAAAAGTCCACGGAAAACGCAAAAGTGTCTCTCTTTATTGACACCGACATTGATATAAAAGCCGCCATATGTTCCAATATCTGAAAACTTCTGAATGAGTCTTCATATCAAGCTTACGTCGTAAAAGATTCAATTCAAAGGCAAAAGAATAGGAACGACCGACAAAGGGGACTCGGCGCTAGCACGATTATTTCAGTATTGAAGCTGTATACAATTGGCACACGACCAACGAAAATATAAAAGGGCATCTTATATTTAGCTATCTGGATAACAAGATACGTTTTTGAGAGAAAAATGCGAATGTTGACAATGATATTCGATTTCGACTTCAGTGGTCGTGATCGTTTCGCCAAGTATAAAACAGTAAATGTGAACGTATTAAGTGAATCAATATCTATAAAGAATGCTAGGTGACTATAGGTTACTCTATGTATATTGTTTGATAGACTACGTAAAGGTATTCTACTGGTGCAATTGTATACAACAGTGGTTGTATTGTTAACGTGATCCAACTGGTTAAACAAAGAACAATTTCTCATGGTTTTGTATCTTTGAATCTATCTGATTACAAACACACAGTTCAATGTTGGTTTAAAGAACAAAGGATTAGAACTTCTAAGTCGAATGACGAGATGAACGTTGCGAAGCTTTGATGGTATTTATTTTTTAATAACATCTGATCTAGATCAGACATTACTATAGATAGATAGATCAGATGTTACTCTAAGGCCGGGTTGACAAACGTCAAAAATCTGTTATCGTATCGTTATAAAAACATCGGTTATCGTCATAGTTACGGTTAAAGTTAGGTGGTGCAACGCAGCCTAAGATCCGTATAATGCTCACAACTACATTTCAACTAAGTCTTAGATTCAGCCCTAAGATTTAAAAAATATGGAAAATTCGACTTTTGAAAGCTTCAATCCATAAGTAAAAAGTAACTTATTAATCTGTGATGATACCAGCAAAATACGAGTATCTCAGTAAACAGAAAATCGCCTTTTTCAGTGATTTAGAATTATTTTACTTTGCATTGTAGGTTTAAAATTATGCAATGTAGGGTAGCCTTCTTTATTTTACGTACATATTGCAATTACTATGACACTGATATCCTTAAAATATTTCATACAATCAAATACCTACTTACATTCCAAAATTATAGTCAGTTTCATTGCTTCTACTTCATACCATTTATTTTTATTTATTGCATGTTTACCTCCAACGTTATATCACTACACAAGCATTGCAGTTTCAAAGTCAACCGTTAAGATCCCCGAGGAGCTCGTAAAGTACACTGTCGCGGGATTAACCGGGATCTCATACCGGGATCCGGGATAACCGGGACTGGCGACGTTGGCAATTGGCTCAGCATTGTTTGCCCCTTGTAAAACGAGGTTTAATGCTTTGGACAACAATACTTGTGTGAACAATGGTATGTCAACGATATAAATAAAGTAAATAATGTTGGCAATAATTTTGTTTGTTTGTTACGAACTGCTAAATCAATTTTGGTGAATTTTGCATAGAGATTTGTCCTGGGAGAAGGACACAATAGTATTCTTGGAGATTATTAAGAAATTCCATTTTTATTAAACAATATTTTCTTAAATTCCTGTCATGATTACCATTGCCTAATGATAATGATAAGAAACTTTTTTCTTTATTTGTAAAGAACGAGTACAATTAGCTAATTTCAAAGACTCCTTCAATATCCTCTCCTCCTAGACTCCTTCATGGCTATGTTGTGTCCCTCCTCAGGTATGGGCTAGTGTTGTGGGGCAACAGTNGACTCCTTCAAAGGCTCCGATTCCTAGAAACTGTACTTTAGATTCTTAATTCTTAAACTACAAATATATGAGTTTGCTCTTAGTAAAATGAGTAGCTCAAGCATATACGGCTATATTACTTCGGGCAAATAAGACTTTCTTAGACGTCATGTAGAGATTCGCTTGTTATAAAACTAACGATGTACATGTTAAAGTTTTGCCCTAGTTCTAGAAATCCTTCATAATTAGTTGTTTGAATTTTAAGTACACTAAAGACAGAGTTATCAAACAAGAATTCCAAGAAAATTTTAATGCCCGAACGTTCTGCATTTTACATGCAAGTAATTCATAATATACGTGTACGTTTGCGAAGTTTTATGAGGGACACAATAAACTTTGTTACTTTAAACATTTTACGGCAAACATAAAATATAAATATTCAAAGCATGCGATATCGTTACACGGTCGCGCCATAGCGGTAATGGGGTACATGTTTTTGCTTTTCGGAAACTTTTATAAGCTTTTCTCCTTGTCCATAATAGAGGAAAATTCGGCAAAATCTATATGGTAAATCTATAGGTAGCATTACCTATAATTACCTTTTCACTCCTAAGGTTTATAGAATAATTTGGATTTATTTTGATGTACAGAGAAGGTTTGATGAGGCTTACTTTTTATCGCAACATAAGTCTTGAAGCTGCAGTTGCAGATTCAATTATTAAATGCTCAAGTGATAAATTGGTAATAAGTACAATTTTAATCAAATAATCTTTTGTAAAAAGCTGTCTGGCGCTATTCGCCACTTTCTGCGAACTTTACCAGATCGTCGCGCCACGTAGATAAAGACCTGTCTACACTAGGTACGTTAGTTAGCTAATTGGTATACAATTCGACCAATTTATTTTAATAGCTCATCTTTCTGCGAAGAGAGCCTCCTTTATTAGCGTCACTTGTACCTTACCCATGGCAGGGTCCAAGGGAAGCCTGTAATCTGCTCATGGTTTAAGCCTTTTCAACACCAGACTCCACTAAAAATCATTAATTCAAAATAACTGTCCGTGATACAGTTTATACTGATAAGTACTGAATTCTTCTACATTCTGCTTAGGTACCTCATTAGATCTATACCTCGATCTGAGATGTGAAAAAATGTAAATACCTACCTATTATTTCCTGGAAAACTCATAAAAGATGTCTGAAGGTTTCAGAATAGAGTTTATTTGTAGAGTAGAGTTTCTTTAATACGTAATAAAAAGAGTTTCTAATAAACAAGTTATGTCGTTAGAGCTAAATTAGTTTGTGTCGTATTATATTTATCACAATATTACAGATTTATGTTCTAGAGTTACACCCACCATGGAAAGGTTAGTAAGCAACCCTTTAACCTTATAGTGCCGTATGGTGTACGTACCTAAAATAGGGTTAAAAAGGTTAAGCTCGTTTATTATTCACGTTGTATTTTGGGCTTTCCGCCTTGGAACAGTAGCGAAGACTCGAAGTCATCGACCAATATACATATTTTGTATTTTCGTCAACAATTTGTTACAGACAAGTTTCATTATTTTTACTTTTCAGTTATGAACTAACTTATTAGTAGATTCTAACACTTATGAAATGAAAACTACAATAGAAAAGTTGAATAATAAAAGTTCTAGGATATTACTGTGTTCACAAATTCTTAAATTGAAAAATGAAATAAAAAATAACTAACAGAGATCCCCATCCATCTATAACCTCTTAAAACAGCTGTCAAAAACTATAAAACCACTAACCAAAAGTGGAATGATAAACAAATATCTGATCTAAACCAACGAACCTAAGATAAACAATCGATCATCAATGATTCACCTATTCCATAACGAACATGACCGGCTGCTCGTCGACGCGTTGCGCGGGCGCGGAGAAAGCGCGTGACGTCACGACCTCGACACGCTCACCTACTTGCGCGCGCCTGCGCCAACCCACTTCCAGCCAATGTCGGCGGGCTTTCTCTGATATCTACCCTGATGTTTTAAATCAAGAGATACAATCCTAGCTTCAAGGTGGAGAAGATCATAAGCTTCTTACAACTGGCTTAAGGCGTTTATTTATTGTGGGAATTTAAAAGTTTCTTTCGAAATTCCATATCGTTCGAAAAGTGGAAGCATTTTTGTATCGTAAAAGACAGTTTTGTTTACTTCTTCGGATTTCTTTGTACACAGTATGCCTGAGAATGGTTAGCCCACTTTTCTTTTTAAAGAGTGCTAAATAAAACAAGAGTTTCCCACCATATTGGTATATTCTGTTACACAATCATAGAGTAACAAACATAGAGCAGGACCGTTCATTGTGGAAAACCTTGGGGGAGGCCTTTGTCCAGCAGTGGACGTCATTTGGCTGAAAAGAAGAAGAAGAAGAGTAACATTCTTCTTAACACTTCTTGGGCGGACCAAAGACAGGACCAAAATGTTTGTAATACACAACAGCTAGACTTCCTATACTTTTCAGGTAAGCTAGAGTCTCTCTAACTTCAAATCATGGACTAGAAGAGAAAGGAAAAGTACTCTTGATGAACGAGACCCACTGAATGCATAAGCAGTATCAATCAAAATGTTTCTGGTCTGTTCCATAATGCAGGTCAGGGGCGTTTAGCAGACTTTCTCTGCATACGTGCCAGTCTTCACGAACCACGAACGTTCGAGAT